CATTCCTCAGGGATCCTCATTCCCCGCCAAATATCAAACTCTAATCTATCTTTTACAGAGTAGATGGCTTTTGGTAGCAACAGAGCAGAAGGACTCATGAGCAACAGCAGAGCAAAGTAGATTTGTGAGCAACAATAGAGTAGAGCAGATTCGTGAGCAGCAGCAAAGCAGATTTGTGAGCAACAGACCAGAGACAGAAACTGAGACACTAAGATATGAGAATGTGAGAGTGAGAGTGATTAGAATGGATAAATAAATTAGAGTTATGGTAAATTTAGGGGAATGAGTTGGGTTGAGTTTGGTTAAATTGGATTGGGTTGGGTTTGGTTAAGTTGGATTGGGTTGGGTTTAGTTGAATAGTATTGGATAAGTTTAATTTTAATTAGTTTGGATTTGAGCTTACATTTGAAGAGTAAATTAAATTAAATTTTTTTTTTTTGTGAGAATGGGGATTCCCACGTCCCCACCGGGTGAAGAAAATTTCTCGTGAAATTTCGCAGGGAGAAAATGTCTCCCGTCCTCACCCTGCAGGAAGGAATATTCCTCCTCACCACGGGAATCCCTGCCCCATCCCTATGGCGGGGATCCCCATAAGGCCCCACGGGAATTAGGAAAAATTACCGCCCCCAAGTGTGGGAAATGGAGAGGGAGGGAAAAAACACTAAAAGTACTATAATTATAATATCATGTAATATTATAATATAATATATTATTTTATAATTAATTTTTTATTAAAAAATTTATTTATAATATTATGAATATTAATTTTTAAGAACCCATTGTATTTATTTAATATTATGAATATTGCTGTTCCTATTAAAAAACAATCTTTCCTTAAATCTGAGACTATAAATTTTAGTATTCTCAACTCCTGAACCTTCTACCGCTGAAGCTATAAATTTATATTTGAAAAAAAAAACTAGAGAGTGGAGCCCAAAGAGACCTTCAAAACCTTACCCAATGTCTTATATTTATATAAAATTCCAACAAAAGCCGCTAGTAATAAGTTAAAATCTTTGATTTGAATCACCGTCTGAAGTTTAAACAACAACAACACAGCTAACTGTATTTTGAAACAAATAAAAATAAAAATTATACATACTAGTAAAAAAGCCCTGAATAATTATTCAATTCTATCCCTTTTTGGATCACCGTCTGCTCTTCAGTCAATTCCCTCAGACCCTTTTTGATCACAGATACTGTGAACCACAGAGATAATAAAAGATTCCACATGTTATTGCCTCTTCTATATCTCTTATAAAAGAACCATTAGATAACGTTCAAAACAAAGATTAACACCTATACTTGTTCTACTGCTATACATCCCCACCACAAAATCTTACCAAAGAAAAAATTATAACTAAATTTACCTTGAAATGGCAGGTAAATGTCCCAAGAACCAGGTGAGAGGTAGTAAAATTACAGGGAATAAAGCTCTATGTCGGCATCCTATCACAACTGGGAAATAATCACATCCAATTTACATAATAATAGCCCTTGCAGAAACATATGGCCAGTCTCCTTTTCGCTTCTCTGCTTGTCAGAAGAGCTGTACATGCTGCTGGATATTTTATCCAATACAATTGTTGATCTGATTCTCCTAATTGTAGATTTTAACTGGCTTCTCAAGCGTATGGCGATTCTGCAAGTCAAAGATCATCACAGAAATATAGTTGAAACAACAAATTGAGCATTTCCATCATCTTGGTCATCCCAATGATATTTGATTATATAAACCACTTCCCCATCAACTAGCTCTTGGAGGAGTCAAGCAAATCCTTTTACCTGATTTGTTACATGGGACCTCTTGGGGGTGTTGTCAGAGTGCTCCAATCCAAGATACTGCTCCCATGCACCATAGACATCCCTTCTCTATGATCACAAAGCCAAATAAAAAAATGAAAAATTGAAATTAAAAGAAAAAAAAAAGTGACAATATCCAAAGTTTGATCATATACATTCCTCTGTGTGTGTGTGTGTACCTGAAAACGAGCAGACACAATGTTGGAATCTTGAAGGTACTCATGTCGTCCCAGCGAGAAAAATGCAAATTTCCACTAAGGATAATAATAAGAAGAAGAAGTTCACTGAGCATAGATATGCCAACGACTATGGTGAAAACTGAACAAAAAAGGATAGAAACATATGAAATGCACTGCAGATAAACAGATAGTTCATACCTTCACAAATTCCTCATCTGTAACCTGCAACCTTTTCTGAATGCGGACTTTAACTTCAGCTAATGTCTCACCCTCACGAATAACAAGAAAAAATGGCTCCCCAAAATTCTGTATCTGCTGCTAGTAGAGCAAATGAAAATGAATTAAGCGAATAATTGAATGTGCCAACTAGCTGCATTCATAATGGAATCAAAAACCTGACTTTAGCAGGAAGGGCATGATGAAGTAGGGGAAGGATTACTCCCCATTGTGTAGCCCATTCATCAAGAGAAGGAAAATGGTTCTCAAACTATAACATCCATTACTTAAGAAAGCAACATTTTGAACTGAGAAAGGGGGCAAAAGGAAGCAAAGCATTCTAACACACTCACCACCTGATTTTGAGCAGTTTCTTTTGTAAAATGATAAACATGAATCAAGCGATCATGAGGACCAAGGTTTTTTTCCTCTTCTGGAATCTGAGGAAACAAGAAATTAAGATTCAAGATCAGAACAAAAAGGCAGGGAAAGGCAAAAGGAGCATAGAGAACACCGGAGGCCCAATGGTTTGACACTTCACAACCAAATTTCATTTTAGATCAACCACAAACAAAACTATATTATGACAACTCTTATCATCAGAAAAATCCAGTCAAAAGCAATTCCTAAAGGAGAAAGCAAGAAGGAAAACAGAAGCAAACCATAATTAAAACAAAAGAGAACGACTTACCTCCTCAGCACGTAATGTCCAATACTGGTCGTTTATATTCTCGATCTTTTCTTGGAGTGGAAAGATCTAGCAACATTAAAACAAAACAGAAGATAGAAAGGCAAAAATGGAGAGAGCTTAGAAGAACTGTCAACATCCTCAATAAAGCTATGCATGCTAAATATAACAGACCGTATTTTCAATTCCTCTTCTATTTTATCTTTTTGGGCATACATACATTCAATTTATAATTCTGGTTCCATGAAAGCTCTAGATAATAACACAAGGGCACTAAAATTCTAACTCAAAAAAGGTTTTAAAACATTATCAATGCACAAGGGCACTTACATCCACTCTTTGCTGCTTAGCAATTCAACAATAAACATAATTGTCACTAAATTTCCAAGGTCTTTTCTTTATATTCTGGAATGAGAAAAATTGTTATGCTATGAAAATGACACCATACTTATCCTGTCATGTTAATTGAATGGGGAAGGGAAAGGATAAATATAGGATACCTTGTAAATCTTGTGATAGAAAACTTCAACCAATCTAAGTTCTGCATTGGGGTGCGACAATTCAACCTGTATCACATTTAGCCAAATACTTAGGTATATTTTTTTCTCAATGAATAGGAAATATATTGACACTTGAATTAATATTTCATAAAATAAAAAAGGAAAAATGATCTATTCTTAAAAATTTTTCAAAATTAGGAAACTGGAGTTGCAAACATTACCTTTGTCCTAAGGTCATTAAGTACATCCCCTATGGTGCTTTGTTTTGGCAATCTAATAGTATGAATCACTACCTGAGAAAATAACCAAGATTCTAATGGAGGAAGAAAAACTGACTATATACTTTAAACAAATAATAATAATAAAACCCTTGGTTTAAATATCTGCACATACTTCATCCTTTGTAGCATGATGGAATGCAACTTTCAATGTTTTAAGGCCTTGAAGTTCTGGCAGAGGGATATCCAATACTTCATAATACAGAATATCTGAAGTCTATCCAAAGCACAGATAATAAATCCTTTCAGAAATTATTACAATTTCAAAAGCTGGATTAAAGTAAGGTTAAATAACTAATATCAGAATTAACAGTCAGATAACCAGTAACCTGATTGTAGTGAACAAGCATAAGGGATAGATGTTCCACCCCTCGATATTTAATGGGTTGGGGTTTTGGTTGCTGAGAGTAACAGTTATGTGATGTAAGCCTAATTTTCAACGGATCATCCACGCCAAGATGTTGAGCCACTCTTTTCACAACATCATCATAGGTGTGAAGCTTTGATCTAGACCAAAAATAAGAAAAAAAAAAAAAAAGAAAGTAAAGAAAAGTAAAGGAGCATCACCAAGAAGAATAAAATCAAATGAATTGATTATCTCCACTCAAGAATACATTTTCTGTGAAGCAAGCTAGGAAACTTAGGCTAAAATTAAACTTAAGCCCTTGAACTTAAGAGACTGTTGATTTGAAGCCCTCCAACTAAAAAAGCATCATTTAAGCCCTTGACTACATGAAAGCATCAAATTAACTCCTCATTTACAACCGAATGGCAGACTTCCTAGCGTGTCATCCATGACTCATTTCATTGATGCTAGTTGGACCATGTTTTCAATATGTGGCATTAATGGTGGGCCTTTAGACACGCATGAAGGCTAAGTTGGCATTAATGGCCCCATAATGGTAAAAAAACCAAACGAGTGATGACAAATTCAATGGTCATCTAAAAAATTCCCAAATTGCAAGACAACAAAGCTCATTGGAGGCCTGTAAATAAAAACCCTAGTTCTACGATTTGGAAATTTTCCATACTGCCTTTGAATCAGTCATTGCTCATTTGCCATTTTTTACCATATATTATGGAGCCATTATTGCCAACTCAGCATCCAAAGGCCCATTATTGGTGTCACAAATTTAAAACATGGCCCAGTCAGCATCAATGAAAAGGGTTTTGGATGGCACCTTATGACGCCTGCTGTTTTGCTGTTAACGAGGGGCCAATTTGATGCAGTTTGTGTAGTTTGAGGGCCTAAATGATGCTTTTTTTGTTGAAGGGCTTAAAATCAACAATCTGGCTTAAGCTTAATTTCAGCCAAGGAACTTACAACTCAAGACAGAATTCATCTTCCTTTGGTTTCTCCAAGGATCGAAAATGAATGACCTATAGATCATCAAGTGATGTAGAAAGTCAGTTTCTGCACAAATACGTCAATTAGATTTTGAGTAAATTTTTCTATCATGCACTCCAATGATGGGGCTTGAAATGGTAAGACATCCAAATGAATTGACCACTTTCCTAAGTTCTCGAGTTTAGTTATTTAAATACACAGATAAACAGAAGTAACTAATTTATGAGCTAGCTAACTTTAAGCCACATTAGTACACAAGCAAAAAACTGCAGGACCTTGTCACTGTTATTATATGAACAAAACATTATAAGGACAACATACAGCAAAATATACTTTGAGGAGTTTTTAGCAATATAATTCAAATCGATGTTCTCCCCACCAACAAGATCATCATGTACCTGACGATTACGGACATACTCAAGAAATGAAGGTACATCAGGATAGCGATATTGTTCACTTCTAACTTTAGAGGATTTTTGAAAGCAGATAATATCACCATCTTCAAGCTGTAAAACAAAAATGGGAAAAAAAAAAAAAGAAAAAGGAACAGAAAGAGCAGAAATTAATTAACAAGGATGAAAAATAAACTTTTACACAACTAGGAAAAACCTTTCAACTAGTGACAGCTAAAATACACCTGACAAAAAGATAGGAAAATAATTTGATACAAAGGGAATCAATTTTTGGAAAACAAGATACTGCTGTTAAGAACATGAATTTCCAGAAAAATATACTGCAGTTAAGGATTGATTTTTCATACCTGACTAGATCGGAAAGTTCCCCTCTTGTCTACAGGTTCACACATGACACTTGGTTCAAATTTTATTTCCTGAACATGGATGAGAATAGGTGAAAAAAATGGTCAAGAAAACTTATTAGCAACTATGTATAACATAAAAGCAGGAGGTGGATCACCAACCTCATAAAGTTCAATTTCTTCATCAGGAGCAAAGCCAACCAATTCATTGATCTTTGTGAGTACTTCCATTGGCTTCCCATTGCCCTTCACGAACATCCTCCCAACATACCTGACAGCACAGAAGGTGAGAAGTACAGCACAGAAAGCAAGAAGTAACCATACATAATTGCACTACAGCTAAAAAGGAAAAGAAATTACCGAAACTCTTCTTTGAGAGGGTCATAAAGTTTGAAAAAAAGCAGAATATCTTCTTTAGTTTTGTCAGGTGGAGGCATAGGCTGCAAATCCTAGATGATAACAACAGACCAGTAAAAGAGATATAAACCCACCACCACAACAAAGAATCAACAAGATGGAACTTCATGGAAATGATCAAATAGGCAATGAGAATTTTACCTGTCCAGGTTCTACTTCCAAGAATAGTTTCAGCTCTGCATTATTTGCCTTGTTGGAAACCTCTCTCAATTGTCCTACCTAAAGTTAAATGAAGTTTATTGCAAACATGAATGCAGATAACAATCCTCAGCTAGGACCCTAAAGAATCAGATCACAAGCATCACTGATTTCAAAATTCATGTCATATACCAATTTTCTTAATGATGTGGGACAAAATGTCATGACAAGTGCAATCAATCTCTACACCTCCACCCTCACTTTCTTGTATCCGTCCTCTCCTCAAGGACAAACGCTAATTTAATGAACAAAAATATTCAAGAATATAGCTGAAGACGAACTTCAAATTTCAAGCACATTGGCCTAGGGTCCTGAACCAGGGTGATCAAACTTGGCCAGATGAACCTGGATGATTGGAAATTACCACCTAGGAGGCCAGCTTCACATGCATGGAAATCTAGGTTGTCCAAAAATCTCTCCCACCCCCCCCCCCCCGGGGCACAAATGAGGAGAAACCATAACACTTTAGAGGAAGAATAAAAAGGTAAAATAACTCAAACAACTATTTGAGTATCTGCGTAAGAATGTCAGCAGTCTCATAAAAAAGAAGAATGTCGTATGGGAGTCTCAAAAAACCAGAAAAATGTCATATGGCAGTCTCATTAAAAAGAAGAATGTCATGTGGCAATCTCATAACAAAGAAGAATGTCCAATGGCAGTCTCATAGGAAAAAAAGAAAAACAGGGGGAAAAAAAAGAATGCCATATGGCAGCAATACCATAACCTGTAGAGCATGCATCAATGTACTGTTTAAGAAATTAAAAGATTAGTTAAAAAAAACTCACTGATTGAGCTTCCTCCTGAGGATTAAGTGGTCGATTTGGACGGTATGTGTGGTTTTGGCGCTTAGCCCACAACCAAAAACGTTGATATTGCACCGGAATACCAAACACTTTAGCAACTTCTTCCTAGAAATTAGCCATGACAGTGAGGTTGATGATTAATAATATTCAAGACTTAAACTTCTATAGAATATTATGTTTGATATCCACAGATAACATTCATCAGGGTGAACTAGATTTAACCAAAAAAAGTGAAGAAAGGGAAAAGGAAATCATTATTAGCATCAGTCCAAAACAAAAATATGATAAAAGTTTCACAATGAGAAATGATGGACCCAAATATTGATTAATTAATAATGTGACAAAGACACCAGTGATTCTAATCAGAAACATGCACCAGGAGAAAAAAAAAAATCCACTTCTAATTTGCTGCTACAATGGTTTGCCACATAATTATGGAAGCATGTCTTCAGAAGCTTTTAGGATTGAACACGCAGAATCAACCTTAACCAGAATCTATTCCTTCCTTTTTATATCTTTGTAATGTAAATAACTAGTATAGAGAAGAAAGATATACAAAATAGCCTTCTTTCAGATTTTGTAGAATACATTAGCTTAGCCATATCGTTAGTTAAATTGATAAATTCCCTCAAAAGTTAACAGTAAATTGATGAAAGTTCCGAGACATAAAGGTACCTTGAAAAGGTTAAAGGGAGTCTGCTTCTGAATACGAAAACTACGAACTTTATCATGATCCACAAGATCAAAATATATATCCCTACCAATTTGTTCAACTAAATCTTCATCACGCGCAACCTGAAGGCATATAGCATAGGAATCAGAGAAACATACATCAGGGGAGACACACACACAGACATTTCAAAAATCATACCTTTATAATGGTATACAAGTGCGCCTCTGCTTTCTCCTTTCTCTTTTGCTCCTTTTCTTCTTGTTCTTTCTTCAACCTTATCTGCAAACACAATGACCAAAGTGTATGATAAGCCACTGCACTGAATAAAAAAAATAATTAAAAGATTGAAAAACAAAAATCTTACTCTCAGGTGTTCAGCAATGTCTTTCTCATCCACATTACATACTATTTTATCCTTGTCGCTTTCTCGTATATAAACAAGCATATAGGCATTTGAGTATTTTGTAAATTTAAATGGAGAATTGTTGAACCCAGGATTTGTCTGTGGTAACTGTTGATCATGAGCAAGAACAGAAGATGTCAATTGAAAAAAGAAAGGCATAAAGCTAAACCAATTCTACAAATTCTACTCAAGAAATTGTTACCTCCTCTTCACCACCATACTGCTCCTCCAATGCTCTCTTCATATCTTCTTTTGTTACCCGTTCATCATCAAATTTAAACCTAGGCATGGTAAATCATAGTGAGCATTAAAATGAATCTAAGTTTCGGTGGGACAACAGAGGGGGGTCTTCTTGTTACATGAAAGCAAAAATCAAAGTTCAAGCACATGCATGAGCCATGAAAAACATCTCCAGAAATGTCAATAACAAAAAAGAAGAATATGGTGGAAAAAAAGAGAAAAAAGAAAACAGCACATGTACTTTTAGAGTAACCAAAATTGAGCAATTGGTCGCTAACCTATTATTTAGCAACACATATTGCAACTAAATTTTCATACCAAAATTTAAACAAAATTTAAAAAGGACAAGAAAGAGAGAGAGAGAGAGAGAGAGAGAGAGAGAGAACATTATAGTATGTGATTGGCATATAGAGATTCGAAGAACAAGATAAATACCACTGGTCTGAGAGGGTTGGCCTGATATAGGCATAGTAGTGTCCACCATGCACTCCACCACTGTGAACCAAAACACTGCATACAATTAAAGGTACATTGTTAAGATTATAATATTGAGTTTAGTGGAACCACAATCTTAATCCATCAGCAAAAGTTAATATACAGGATTATAGGAGTAGACAGAGTGCCTATAGAATAACAAAATAATTCTTATAGTTACAGTGCTTATTGTCAGAAGAATGAGAAAAGCTTCTTAGCATAAGATGTATACCAATCAAAGTAACTCATAATGATCAAGGCAACAATTTATGGTAGTGTTAGAAGCATCCACGTAGAAGGAAGCAAGCGCCAAAAAAAAGGTGGCAAGGAAGAGAACAAGAGTACAAACAAAAGGTAAAATAATGGTCAAATGATGGGGATGAAGCACAAACAAGTTCAATACAAATATGCACAAAAATACCCACCATGTTGGAATATTACTAAATACTCTATAAAGATGATATTGATAACAAAAATGGTAAATAACTGACAAACTAACTTAAGTTCTCTTCAACTTTCCTCAAATAATCCAAAAGAAGTTTGCTACTCTGGTGGACTCATTTCCTCAGTAGAGGATTATGCAAGCAGAAGCTGAACAAATTATTGTTGTATTTGAGTCATACAAACTATGGAATGATGATTACAGCTTCACAAACTGAGAGAAATACCTGTGAAGAGTATAAAGATTGCAGACACTTCTGTCTGCCTCAGGTGATAAATACTTGCCATTCTCTCTATCAAGATCAAGTTGCAAGGGGAACTCATACCGATCATTTATCTACCAGAAAGAAAAAAAGTCAAAATGCAAACTCAAAAAGAGGAGGTTCTAGAGGTATTGATACAAAAGGATAAAGATGGAAGAGGAAAATAATGACTTTTTTCCATGTCCCACTAGCCATAAAATATGTGATGCTAATGAATTTTTTTCCCAGTGAATATGATCTAATGCAGGCAAATTTCTTGGTTACCAATTGCTGATCAAATTCCATATGAAATTGTTTACTTAAATTAAGAAGAAAATCAACTTGGGTAAAATCTTTTTTTTAAAGGAAAACCTACATTCAAAAGAAATAAATATTCTACCATATTCTCTTATAGTAACAAAATTCCTTGAATAATTTAAAAGGAGTGGGGAGGGGGGAGGGGGTGGGGGAAGGCCTAGATTCCAAAAAGATAGAAGTCGACCAAAGTGTTCTTCATCTACCATCTTAGATTGCCCATTTATATTGGCATTAAATCACAGTATAGATCATCAAGATGTGTTAACGCTGTAGAACTAATACAATGCATTGCCCATAATGCCTAAAGACAACCACAATGGAAGAAAAGAAGCAAAGGATTTAAGAAAATTCTGCAAACTTGCAAATCATAAGAATGGTACACTAAACCACTGACCTTTACCATGGTATCCCTCATAAAATCATACTCAAAACGTTTTAACTGAAGTTGAAGGACAGGAGGAAAGTCAATAAAGAGAACACCCTTTCTAGCATCCTGGAAAGGACCAAAGAATATGAAATTCGTTAGAAATTATCTTCAGAGAGAACAAATTTCAGCAATACAGAATCACATACACAAAAAATCCAATTCAGTGATCCATTTCAAGACCAATACAGCTGATCTTATGGTCCATCATCTGATTGGATTTAAGTTCTCTTGTGAAAAAGTCACAGCTTAAAAAAGCATCAGCCCAAGGACAGTGGTGCATCTCACCTGTAACCCATATTGTTCTGCATGGTACTTGTTATCACCCTCAAGACGTTCCACTTCAACATATTTGTCAAAGGAAGCATAAACATCTTTACATCCCTTGACATCAAGCTGAAGATCTATGAATAATATTATTAAAATCACCATAAGGCCCATAAAAATCAATTTTCAATATTCCATTCATCCATTTAACCTTCAAAACCATACCATAAAATGATTCCTTTCTCATTGATTTGTAATCAACATTGATGCACTCAATATAGTTCATATGATGCCCTTCAAATAACTGTTGTATTGTACCCTCAACAACAGTTCCCTAGGCCAATAAAACAAACAGAGAACTGAGATTTCAAAGAGCTCCTAAAACAATCTTAGAAGAATCATGCAATTCTAAGATATTAAGATTCTCCATACCTTCATCTTGTCTTCCAACTTTTCACATAGAACCCTATTAAGTTCTTGCACATCATGCTGCAGGAAAGAATCATATGTATCCCATCCAAAGGATTTGGTCAACTCTTTTGTGGCTACACTAGTGTCACTATATTGAAGCTTATAAAAGAGACTTTGCAAAGCCAGAGGAATGCTCCCTGATGGCATGTCATTCTCAGTTGTCGGCATATGATACACAGCCTGCAAGGAATAGTCCAAATATTATACCTCCTTGAGAATTTTATCAAGAGAATAATCAAGAGTAAATATACTGACCTTTCTGAAGTAGGGAATGTGATACAATGTTTGAAGGAGAGAGTTCATATAGCAGGTAGCTCCTTGGTTCTTAAGCCCAACATATCCTGTCTCTTTTTTTGAGTCATGTGACCAGTAATCAATGACCCTACGCACAGTAACATCAGCTTCTACTACACACGTGTCATTCACAAGAAAACCTCTACTAGGCTCATATAAGTCACTGAGAGACATGAAGGAAGTAAATCCCCAATCACTCTCACGTGAATTAAACTGGTGTTGTGTCTCTGCAACAAGTAAAAGCGTCAAGCATTGATGACCATTTGAGTACAAACCCCAAGAGGGGACAGAATAGCAAAAAGCCTATTCATTAACCCACTAACAGTATGTTTGGTTTAAGGGAAATGGTGTGGAGGGATGAGTTTTTTAACCAATCAAATAATAATGTTTTCAAATATTGCAATCTGATTGGTCAAAAAATCCCTCACTCCCCTCCTCTCCCCTCCATTTCCCTCAAACCAAACATACCCTAAGATTCATATTTCAAACAAGATGTTGCCTAGTAGAGAAGCTATCATAAAGGAATGGACATAAAACTAATAAAATTCCTAGACTAAAATAAATAAAACACTCCTGATTTTTTTAGAAATTATTAAATTTCCATGCTAAACCAAAAATTTCAGCACTTCATATGTTCATCACATCATCTAGCCAAAAAAACAGTCCTCTCTTAACATCATGCTCTATAGGGCAGTCTGCCACACAAAGATTCCAAGAATAACAGATGACCTGAATATATGATAAAGTTTGATAAATAAAATTGAACATATGGAAGCTTAACTGCCCATACATAAAAGGGGAATGTAAAATGGCATCCAGAATGTTGCAGTAACAAAAACACCATGTAAGGATTCCTCATTTTATGGAAATAACAGCAAACCCGGCCAAACCTTTTCTAATTGAGTATCTGCCATGAATTTGGTTGACAATGCTTAAGCTGAACTGTGCATATCTACTCCATCCATAAGGCAAAGTTGCCGAATCAGCAACATCTAGATACATTGACAAATGATCCACATTGTTCCCCTTGGGGAAAATAAGTATCCGCCTGTACAAGACAATCCATTGTAAATCTTAGTGACTGATCAAAGCAAACTTACGTTTCATTGGCCACATAGACAAGCACAACAACTACCATTAAATAAACTACCATTTAAAGCCTCCAACAAGGAAAACCTCAGAATAGAGCTTCTTTGTATTAAGCCTTGAGAAATTCTCAATTGTCCAAGTAAACCTAGCTGATGGGGGATCATCCACTGCCTGAGCATCCACGGCAGTTGCAGCCTCTGCTGGTGCTACTGAAATTATTTAAAAGTACATTAAAAAAAAAATCTAAACATCCGTTACAATCAGAATCAGAAATCTAGTGTTTAGTGCCAAGGTAACAAAGAACTCAAACTAAGAGAAGCACAATATGAAATAATAGTTGACAGACTACGGAATCAAATTGGCAAATGGAAAGGAACTCGCAAGGAGAAGAATGCTACGGTTCGCTCAACTGAACTTAATAGCAAGTTCCATTCAGCTGAGCTTAATGGAAGTCAAAATACTGGTAATAGCAAAGCAATTCATTCAACTTCCACCAGATTCTAAGGAAACAAACAGAGTAATAATTGAATCGAAGTTCTACCTTCCATTGACTGAGGACCGTCGGGGGGATCAGAGTGCGGTACTAAGATCTCATCGTCTTCCTGCTGGAAAGAAGAAAAGCAATTCAAGGTGAGAGACCTCGGATCTGCTGATAGAAACCGTAAGAATTCAAGCAGTGGCAACCAGAAACGGAAAATTTTTAAACATCTTCAAGATACATCGGTTTCAGATTCGAAATTGAATTGAAGTGAGGGAGAAGAGTAGAGCAGAGAATCAAGTATCGAATTATTATTACATCTAACGGTGGAGGAGTCACCAGAGTCATCAGCGGCAGAGCTGGAACTGAAGTCGATCGAGTGAAAATCTAGAAGAAAAGGAGAGAGCTATACATGTAGAATTGCTGGAGGTGGGGGAGAAACAGGAAGCCTGAAACGAGCACGACGCGGTGCGGAGTGGACGTACGGCGGAATCCTAAACTTCTTTAGTTAGGAAAGGGATTTCTTCGGAGTTTTATTTTTTTTTAAAAAAAAGAATCTTTCTAGTCCATTGTATTCTTAATGTCCAGTCCTTCAATTTTAACAAAAATACCATAAATAAAATTTTTCACCATGTCCCTTTATTAATAAAAATTTCGCTGAACATTCTAAAAAAATAAAACAAACTCTTGTGTGTCGGACACTCACGGATCCCATTTTTTCTTTTTCATTTAATTAATATATGTAATTAATTTTAATATAATAAAAATAAAATAAAATAAAAATAAAACAAACTCTTACATTTTTTATTTTGGAAAAATGCCAATTATTTTTTACTTATATAACAAATATAAATTCAAAATTGGTAATAAGTTAAAAAAGTGTTATTATCTTGATATTTAATTATGATAGCACTAAACCTTTATTTGATTGAAAGCGTAGAAGGGGAGAGTAGTAAAAGTCTTTATGGTGAGGTTTGGTTAGAATTTTATTATTTTTTAAATTAATTTAATTTGATCAGTTAATAAAATTTTTAAACTAATTTAATATATTATTATATAATAATCAAATCAATTTAAGTTAAATGGAATCGATGTGATTCGGTTCAATTGATTGGTTTTTAATATTACTAAATATATAAGATAATGTAAAAATATTTTAACATAAAATAGAATGTATAACTATAAAATATATTAACATCCAAATCAGTAAAAATATAATAAAAGATAAAAATTATAAACGAATTCTTATA